AGTCCTGACTCCTATTCTCTACTGCTTTAACCACAAAAATCATACTCAATAACCTCTTGATTGCATTGGCATGGATCTAACTATGTCAACGGGCACATAACATTAACCCTTCTTACCCTATTGGGATGCCAGTCTCTGTTAGCACAGAAACTACACCGGGGAAGGACAACGCTTTACCTCTCACATCTCCATGTTTGCTCTGGAATTGCCCCATAGATGAGCCCCCAGTCCAGGTCCCACGTACTGGGCTCTGCAGCTCTCTTGCTTGCACCACCAAGGCCCTTTTGTGACTCATCAATAAGCATCATCATCACAGGCACAGTAAACTGATGCTGCTGCCAGAGGGACCTTAGCACTATGAGGTGAGACTGCGAAACACATTTTTGGCTCTCCTTATCCCCAGACTAAACTGACTCCTATCCAGCCTTGGGGTTGGCGGAGGATCAGCCAGTAGAGTACTTGGGCTCTCACATACTTAAACACATTTCATTTAAAAGGGTGAGGGGATTTCTGATCCACCACTACCTGCTGCAAAGGAAGCAGAGCCTGGAAGCTCACGGGTTTGGTGCTTCATTGTCAACATGGTGCATGGAAACTTTTTAAAGACACCATAATAGAGGCTCAACTTAAATGTATTCCCCACATTAAAAAACATAGTAAGAGAACCAAAAAAGAGCCACCGTGGCTAAACAACAAAGTAAAAGAAGCAGTGAGAGGCAAAAAGGCATCCTTTAAAAAGTGGAAGTTAAATCCTAGTGAGGAAAAGAGAAAGGATCAATGAACTCTGGCAAATGCAATGTAAAAATATAATTAGAAAGGTCAATAAAGAATTAGTTGAAGAACAACTAGCCAAAGATTCAAAAAGTAATAGCAAAGTTTTTTTTAAGTACATCAGAAGCAGGAAGCCTGTTAAACAACCAGTGGGGCCACTGGACAATCAAGATGCTAAAGGAGCACTCAAGGACGATAAGCCCATTGAGGAGAAACTAAATGAATTCTTTGTATCGGTCTTCAGGGCTGAGGATATGAGGTAGATTCCCAAACCTGAGCCATTCTTTTTAGGTGACAAATCTGAGGAACTGTCCCAGATTGAGGTGTCATTACAGGAAGTTTTGGAACAAATTGATCAACTAAACAGTAATAAGTCACCAGAACCAGATGGGATTCACCCAAGAGTTCTGAAGGAACTCAAATGTGAAATTGCAGAACTACTAACTGTAGTCTGTAACCTATCATTTAAACCCGCTTCTGTACCAGATGACTAGAGGATAGCTAATGTGACGCCAATTTTTTTGAAAGGGCCCCAGAGGTGATCCCGGCAATTACAGGCAGGTAAACCTGACTTCAGTACCAGGCAAACTGGTCGAAACTATAGTAAAGAACAAAATTGTCAGACACATAGATGAACGTAATTTGTTGGGGAAGAGTCAACATAGTTTTGTAAAGGGAAATCATACCTCACCAATCTACTAGAATTCTTTGAGGGGATCCAGTGGATATAGTGTACTTAGATTTTCAGAAAGTCTTTGACAAGGTCCCGCACCAAAGGCTCTTAAGCAAAGTAAGCTGTCATGGGATAAGAGGGAAGGTTCTCTCATGGATTGGTAACTGGTTAAAAGATAGGAAACAAAGGGTAGACATAAATGGTCAGTTTTCAGAATGGAGGGAGGCAAATAGTGTGTCCCCCAGGGGTCTGTACTGGGCCCAGTCCTAGTCAACATATTCATAAATGATCTGGAAAAAGGGGTAAACAGTGAGGTGACAAAATTTGCAGATGACACAAAATTGCTCAAGATAGTTAAGTCCCAGGCAGACTGTGATGAGCTACAAAAGGATCTCACAAAACTGGGTGACTGGGCAACAAAATGGCAGATGAAATTGAATGTTGATAAATGCAAAGTAATGCACATTGGAAAACATAATCCCAACTATACATGTAAAATGATGGGATCTAAATTAGCTGTTACCACCCAAGAAAGAGATCTTGGCGTCACTATGAATAGTTCTCTGAAAACATCCACTCAATGTGCAGCAGCAGTCACAAAAGTGAACAAAATGTTGGGAATCATTAAGAAAGGGATAAATAAGACAGAAAATAACATATTGCCTTTATATAAATCCATGGTACACCCACATCTTGAATACTGCATGCAGATGTGGTCGCCCCATCTCAAAAAAGATATATTGGAATTGGAAAAGGATCAGAAAAGGGCAACAAAAATGATTAGAGGTATGAAACGACTTCCATATGAAGAGAGATTAATAAGACTGGGACTTTTCAGCTTGGAAAAGAGACGACTAAGGGGGGATATGATAAAGGTCTATAAAATCATGACTGGTGTGGAGAAAGTTATTTACTCCTCATAACACAAGGACTAGGGGTCACCAAATGAAATTAATAGGCAGCAGGTTTAAAACAAACAAAAGGAGGTATTTTTTCACACAACGCACAGTCAACCTGTGGAACTCCTTGCCAGAGGATATTGTGAAGGCCAAGCTATAACAGGGTTCAAAATAGAACTAGATAAATTCATGGAGGATAGGTCCATCAATGGCTATTAGCCAGGATGGACAAGGATGGTGTCCCTAGCCTCTGTTTGCTAGAGCTGGGAATGAGCAACAGAGGATGGATCACTTGACGATTACCTGTTCTGTTCATTCCCTCTGGGGCACCTGGCACTGGCCACTGTCGGAAGACAGGATACTGGCTAGATGGACCTTTGGTCTGACCCAGTCTGGCCAGTCTTGTGTTCTAACATTTAAACAACTTCCAAGGAACAAGCTGGAGGCTTGGGGGGCTACTGGGGTGGGGACTGTGCATTCTGATTAATTGAGGCTGTTTTCCCTGCCTTTTTCTCCAGCTGTTTAACTACAGAAGCCAGAGTTGCCAGCAATATGAATTTAAAAGAGCAAAGATTAGATTCACTAATCTGAACATGGTGGGCCCCTGTGTCAGTGCTTAATCTGTTGTCAGGGCTGAGCCATGGCACCTCTAGGCTTGCTGCATTAGTTATGAAAGTAAAAAAAAATTGCTTGAGCCCCAGCACCTCTCTCATTAAAAATTAAGCATTGCCCTGCTTATTCCCTTTTCTCTTTCCACTCCACCTCTCTCCACAGTCTGTCTTTTCCCTCCCTCCCTCCTGTTTTCTCTCCTCAGTCTTTCCAAAGCAGCACTCCCGTCCCTTTCCTCTGGGTCTGCCTCTTCCACACTGTTCACCCCACCTAGGGTGACCAGATGTCCCGATTTTATAGGGACAGTCCCGATTTTTGGGTCTTTTTCTTATATAGGCTATTACCCCCCCACCCCCTGTCCCGATTTTTCACATTTGCTGTCTGGTCACCCTAACCCCACCCCCGCACTCAATCCATTCCGTTACCAGGGGTGCAAGTAGGGCGGTACCCTCCAGTATGCAGTACCGGCAAGAGATTTTTAGCGGGTACAGGGCACTGGAAAGACTTGGGGCTAGCCCCCCCATACTCTGCTCCTTAAAGGAGCAGAATGGGACTAGGGAGGATATTCATTCTTTGTATGACTTTAACAGCACAATACATATGCTAACAAACTTAAACAAAGGCTTTGGATAAGTTTAAGTTTGTTAGCATATGTATTGTGCTGTTACATTGGTCAGGAGTCCTCAAGAGGCGAGGGGTCGGGGGGGACGGAAGGTGTTTCAACATTGTTTTTGATTCTTTTTCTCCCCATTGCTCTGAATTATCCATGACATCCATACTGCATCACATCAAGTCCAAATCATTAGAGGAATGCCTCTGCTTGCACTGACCAGAGGATGTTTGGATACTGATGTCAGCCCAGTTCTGGCCTGATGGGAATCAGGTGTTGTCCCCAGTGTACCTAGAATTCTTCTTTGCAGCCAAACTAGTCTAACATGCAGTTTGTAAACTGGAACTGGAGCAGCAAAACAAAGAAAACAAATGCCTCATTTTCCAGCTTTGTGGGTGAGAGAACTATAAGTGAAGATTATAATGCTGACAGCCTTAAACCAGCTAGCTGCCTCAGGAATCTGCCAAGAACTTTGCTGAACATATGTTCCTCATCTTAGCAACAGAGCTAAGACATCACACATCTGCCCACCTTTATTGGAATGAAGCTCCTTTTGATCTGACAGCTCAGGCATTGTCAGTTTCATCCAGAACAATTTATAAACTTGGAACCTAAGCCTGTAAACCCTTAATCATTTGATCAATCCCACTGAAGACAATGGGACTATTTGCATGACTATGGACCGCTTTTGTGGACTGGTAGGAGTTTCAGGAGTCTGTTCCTATAAAGGAAGTTGAATCCCGCATTGAAATGCAGTGTTTGGGTACAATACCATAAAGCAATTTAGGATACAGTTCTACTTAAAATTTGTCTTTTAATAAATCATACATATGCTGAAATGGGTCTTCAGCCAACTCCCATAGTCCAGATAAACAGACTGAACTACTACAAAGTGAGTAGTTAAGCATGTTGACGTTTGTATATACAAAGGGGGGGGGGGGGGTCGGGGGGGTGGGGGAGAGCATGGGGGCCCAGCTGGGAGGAGTCACATGGGGAGATCACGTGCTCCCCATTGTGTCCCTCCCATGACTGCAGTACCAGCAAGAAATGATTTCTACCTCCACCACCTAGTCCCCCTTGCTCTGCTTTGCCTTTCTCTGTTCCTGTCGCTCCCCCTGCTCCTCCCCTACCTACAGTCCAGGGCTCCCTCCAGCCCGCTCTATTGCTGCTACCAAGGACCCGCACCAATCCCACTCTACAGGTGGGGAAACTGAGGCACAGAACGGGGCGACTGGGCAAGACCACACCGGAGGCCTGGCTCCCCCCACTGCCCCCCTTCGCCGGGAGCCACGTGGGCTGCTGCCAGGGGGAGGCGGGCATTGGGGGGAGCGGCGCTCTGGTCATGTGACGCCCCACCCTGGCTTCGCCGCGGAAAACCCTCCTCCATTTACGCATGCGTTGAACGGACCAGGGCTGAGGGGGAAACCTCGCGAGAACAAGCGGAGTGATGACGCAACAACCCGGAAGTGTCTGGAGCCCCTGGAAGTGGTAGCGGCAGAGATGGACGGTAAGAGAAAGACGCCCCCATCCGGGGGGGCTGAGCGCTATTCCGGCCCGAGCCGCGCCGCGGGCCGCCTGCTGCCCCCGGGGGAGGGGCTCCCGGGGCGGGGAGCGGGGGCAGGGCCGGGGGGGAGGGGAAGGAGGTCAAGGGGCTGGGACCGGGGGGGGGGGGGGGGGGGGCCGGGTGGGGGGTGGGGGGGGGGGGGGGGTGGCCATTGGGGGAAGGGAGAGGGAAATCCGTTGGTGACATCAGGGCACGTGATGATGTGACCTGGGAGAGGGAGTTCCCTGTGACCCCAGAGTGGGGGCTGCCCTGTGGTCGTAGGGGAGTCCCGGGGGTTACCTGCAGGGGCTCTGCTCAGTCGTCCTGGCCAGTAGGCTCCTGAGGAGGAGGGTGGAGACCCTGTCCCTGTCTCAGGGCTGGGGCGGGTCAGTGCAGCCCGAGGGCCTGTGCTGCATTGGTCAGGGAGAGAAAACTCAAGGGCAGCTTGTTTGTCCCTGGCTTTTCTGATGAATTGAAATAGGTCCAGGTGTTTCAGAAAACTAAAATGTATTTAAAGTTGCCCTAAATTCCTGAACTGATCCATTTCCTCTTGCATGAAACTGGCTGGATGAAGCTGGCTGAGAGTTATTTACAGGGATATCTGGGGTGTGCCAGGTTCTGGGTCAAAGGTCACCATGTAATTGTGATCAGAGAAACCACAGTGACAAGTGACACAGGTATTTCAGTAAAAGCCAGGAAGCTGCCTTCTGATGAGTCACTTGTTAGTTGCAAGACAGAATGTGATTTCTATTAGCTCCACTCCAGGATTAAGGTCCCATACATGATGTGTGTCAAATTGAGAGAGAACTGCATAGTGAAGCCACTGTGCTGTACCGTGGATGCTGTGATACTTGCCACGGATGCATTAACTTATGGTAGATAATTTTTTACAGTGAATATTTCAGTACCTAATATTCAGTGAGTCCATTTATTTCAAAGAGCCATATCCAAGGGATAATTCACTAGCTTGTATGGCTCCTTCAGTATTCTGAGCCAGTCCCCAGCCGAGCAGTTCAGATAGCACTCCTGTTACCCTGGGTGCTCAGGGCCTTTGTTATCCATGCATATGCCTGACCCTCATTGATTAGTCATGAAATTGAAAGCAGGAATCAATCCTGTGGAGTGTCTCTAATAAAACCCTCCAACAGCCTTTTTAACAAGCTCTCTGAGATGTCTCATATTCCATTCTAGGTCGTTTTTTCAGTCCCTTACTGTGTACAATGATCCAATCACCACTGGCCTTACAACCACGTTTAAAAATCAGCGTCAGTGTCGTTTGAGCTCAGTTGTAGCCAAATGAGACTCCAGCACGGGTTGGTCAGCTATGTGTAGACAGGTCTTTAACACAGGAGTTTCTGCTTCTGTGCTCTAGCATGACAGGAGAGGAAGGATTGGCCTAGTGGTTAGGGCACTAGCTGTGACTTGGGAGACCCAGGTTCAAGTCCTTGCTCTGCCACCAGCTTTCTGTGTGCCCTTGGGCATGTCACTTAGTCTCCTTGTGCCTCTGTTCCTCATTTGTACAGGGGGATAATGGCACTGGATAAAGGTTGGGAGGTGCCTACATACTAGGGTGATGGAGGCCGTATGGAGTACCTTAGCTAGGTAGCCTGAGGAGTCCCCAGTGCACAGGCAAAGGCTGAGAGTGCAGTGGAGGCAGCTGAGGGCTGTGGTCTCTGCTTGCCCAGAAGAGATTTTTCTGAACAATCATGGTGGTGGTACTGGGATGTGTGAGCAGCACAACCTCAGCCTGTCCAGCCCCCTTCAGGCAAAAGGAATGTTGGTGTGATGCTTTTAAGGGGAAGGGGGGTGTGTGAACTGGGGAGACTCACCATTGAAGGTACCTCCCAAAGCACAGTTCCTTGGGTGAAAGATTGTGTGACCTTTATGTTACTGACTGACAGAGACTCTAAAAACCTGTGATCTGAGTCACCTCCTCTCTTGTTTCAGATACACTCTTCCAGCTGAAGGTGAGTGTGGCCATTACAGGATGTCCCTTTCTGCCCCAGCATGGTGGATTCATTATTCTATGCCTCACAGCACAGGCTGCCCTGCGTGGCCTTGGTCAATTGAAAGTCGACAAGCCCAGCTGAACTGATGCTCTAAGACCCTCTTATGGTGTCTTGTGGTATGGCTGGTAGGTCTGTACAAAACCGAACTGTCTTCCTGGTACAGGCTGCTTAGGAGCCTAGCTGACTACCAGACCCTGTACTAGTCGGGTGTTTTGTGGGCTCCTCCAATAGCCGGAGGCTAGGGTTGATCATCTTTAAGAAGCAGCTACTATGGGTCTAGGTTTATTCCTTGTTTTTAAATTTGGCTTCTCAAATGCTTTCTGCTCCGACCTTCTCTCACCCACTTGATGGAGAGTTCACTGACTTGGAGAAACCTCTCCCAGAACCTTCCTTCCTACCTTCAACTCCTCTTGCTTTCATTGTCCTGTCTTCCCAAGGCTTTATCTCCTCCTTCCAGTGCTCTCCCTCCAGCAGGGGTGTGATGTGCAGTATCTTCACTGAGTCTCCCAGAGTGGGGGCGCCACTGGGCTTTCTGTCCACAGGGGCCAGGGAGAGGTCAACAGCTACATAAAGATCCCAATATTTAAGGCTGTGGTGGTGAAAGAACAGGAACTTGTGTCTCTTATTCTGGGGGAGGAAGCAGTGCAGAGGTCCCTAGCGATGCTGTGATTTAGCCCCTGAAGACATCATCGATTATGTTGCAAGCACTTGTCTCTCCTGATGTAAAGGAAGTGGCATTGCAGCTCTTGATTGCATAAGGTGCTTAACCTCCATTGGTGTGAGCCGCAAATCAGTTAAGTGCATTAGGCTGGACAGGCCCTTCACCTGGTAATTGGATTAAATGTAACAGGAGCCTGTAGACCATATTCTCCTGTGCTCTGTGCTAATGTAGAGAGACGGAATATGTATGGTACCAAACCTACCTCCGTTCCCAGAGGGGAGACACAAATCCCTTCCCCCAGAGCTTTACCTTTATGAAAATCTGTTTAAAATAACAGCTGCAACTCTGCCTCTGCAGTTCCCAGCCACAACAGGAAGGGGGAGCTATTTATCTAGAGAACACTTATCACCTGTTCTGGAGCCACATAGGTAGTGTAAACCCAACCCAGAATTGTCATGCATGGCAGGGGACATGAAGGAAAGACTATGCCAAGTGCAAAGCAAACTCCTTCCCATCACTCCCCTCAAGCACCAATCAGTCCCTTTCGCTCACCTCTGAAAACGCCTTGACAAGTGAGCCTGTGAGCGTGCCCTGAAGGTCCCTGAACCCAAGCTAAGGAGTATGTTCCAGACACCTCACTGAGAGCCCCTAGGTCCCTGCCTCTTAAACCAGGGGCTGAAATCTCAAGTGCCTCCACTGCTTGCTACTGCTGTGTATTTCGCAGCAGGAGAGAGAGGACAGCGTGCTTTAGCCAGTACCATGCCACAGGTACTACCTGTCTGGCCAAGGAAGCCAGGCCTTCCCTCAGAGCGCTCCAACTCTGCTCCATCAGTCAGCCAAAGGGGCTACTGCAGCTCACTGAGTTCCTTTCCTCTTGCTGCCGCCGCTGTATGCCCAGTCTCGTCCATAACTACGGCGCCTGCCCAGTGCCCAGCCAACCTCACTGCGTTTTAGGGTTGTATAAAGACAAGCCAGCCTGCAAAGGCAGCTGAGGCAGTGCCAGCAGACGCTGTGGGCACCGTACACACGCTTTGCTAGGACAGCCTCTGGGCTGTTGTGGGAGCCTCTGATTGTGTTAATGTTTGATCCTTTCATGGCCGAGCACCGAAGTCTGTTTCTCTTAGTTCACAGCAAAGCAGCTGGAGAAGCTAGCCAAGAAGGCCGAGAAGGACTCGAAGACTGAGCAAGCCAAAGTCAAGAAGGTAGCCAGTGTGGCTGAACTCTGTGGAGGTGGTGGAACTCCCTGGTGGAGATGAAAGTAACACACACAGACCGTCTCTGAGGGCTAGGTGTCTTTTCAGCCCTTGCGCCTGTGCCGTCAATCCATGGCTCTGTATCGGAGGGATTAACTAGATTCCACGTAATAGCACCCTGGATATTAACAGCTTCTGGTTAATGGCAACACTTGGCTGGGAGCCATCCCTGCCCCATTGACTTTAATGTTAGTGGGATGTGGATGTTGGCAACGGGATGGCGCCTATTAACAGCAGCTTTTGGAAGAAAGGCCCCGGCTGCAGGCAGGTGTGTGGGCCTACAGCCCGGGAAGGTAGTGCTGGGATGTGCCTTCTCTGGCTGCAGCCTCCAAACCTGCCTGCGCAGGGAGCCCACACGGGAGGGGAGGGGAGGCTGTGGGCTGGGCAGTGTGGGGAGGGGGGCTGCAGCCTGGATGCTGGAGCTGCACCGTACCTCTCCCTGCTCTCTCTGGGCTGTGTCCTGCCTGGGGGCTGCACCCAGGCAAGGCAGCACTGGGGTGTGCTGAGCCCCAGCCCCCAAAGAGCACAGGGAGCGATACCGTGCGGCTCACACCCCCACTCCCCATAGAAAGCCCCAGCATCTGGGCTGCAGCCATGCTCCCTGCTGCTGCCTGGCCTGCAGGCAGGTTTTCAGGGCTGCAGTCAGGGAAGGCACGTCCCAGTGCTGGCTACCTTGGCTGCAGCCCTGCAAACCTGCCTTCTGCTTGTTGGCAGCGGCCAGATAACAGCAAGCGAGGTGTTGCTAGTAAGCAGAATCTGCTGTCCTGCGTTCTCTGACCTATGTACTGCTGAGATCCAAGCAGGCACGTTCTCCCCCCGCATCATTGATTGACGTGCCCGGCGCAATAGGCCATCCTGACATCCCCAAATCTCCTAGCCTCAACCCTAATCCCGGCCGTCCTAGCATGTTTGGCTACCACCGGCTCCGCTAATCCCGATCCAAGCAAACACCAAAGTCCCTTTGGAAAGAACACAGACGAGAGAGATTTCTGCATGACATCCCTTGGGTGGAAATGGGAGACATTTGTTTCTGATGTGTGAAGCAAAATGGATTTCTCTCTGCAAATCTTTTCCCTTCCATGTTCCAGGCCCTTCAGCAGAAGAACGTAGAATGTGCTCGTGTCTATGCAGAGAATGCAATCCGGAAGAAGAACGAAGGTTTAAACTGGCTTCGGATGGCTTCCCGAGTGGATGCAGTGGTCTCCAAGGTGCAGACGGCAGTGACCATGAAGGGGGTAAGAGGCTGTGTCGTCTCAGGTGTATCCCTGGAGGAACAGAAGCTGTTTCCTGTCCTTGTACAGATAGAGACTATTGGCCCATCCCTCCCCTCTACTTGGTTAGAACTGGGCTGTAGTGTTGGCAAGCGCTATGACACCTCCCACCCCCAAACTGGGATTTGGTCAGGGCCCGGAGCTAGACTGGGCATTGGCAGAGACTGCCACAGCTGCTGAAATGCCAGTGTGTGTCTCTCATTGCCTTGTGGTGTGGCCAGTACATTTCACTGGGGACCAGCAATGAGACCCTCAAACTTGCTTCATTTGTGGCTTCATCCATATTTGAGCCCAAGTCTGCAGGCCTGGAAGGTGTGTGCCTGGAATCACTCCCCTGCCTTAGCCATGTGTCCATGCATGCTTGTGTGCAGGGAATTGAGGGTTCGAGTTCTCTTCTGCAAGGTACTGAGCACTCTCAAGTCCTTTTGATTTTGCTGGGAGCTGAAGATGCTTGTTCCCTCTTCGGATTCTGTCTGAAATCTCTCTTCACTGTGAGCCACATGACCAACACTGGAGTCCCACCTGGACTTCCTGGAGTTATGTGGCTCCGCTTAGAGAGAGGACGGGCAGCAAGAACAGCCCCTGAAGCACATTGCGCCTGGTGGGCTGGAGCTCCTGTCTTCACGGTGTTTGTACTAACGTTGGGAGTAACATTTCCGGTATGAACACCAAAGGGTTCAGTGGAGAAATAGCAGGAGGAGGCGCTAAAAATGCATGAAGCCCTTGCATAGAAGAGCTCATGGGCATGGTTACTATTTTCATGTGACTGTCATGGTGAAGTTGCCTCTGTACTGTTAAAGGGCAGACTTCCAGGGCTGTATATGAAAATGATGCGTGTGTGTCGTGTGTGCGTGCAGTAGATGCCAGGTGCAATTCCGATGTGCACAGTGACAGCTAGAAGGCTAGCGGATCTCTTGCATGTGCATTTTCAGTATTCGTGCATTCGGTTGCATGTGCACAATTCTAAAGCCCTGCGGCCAATCTGAGCTGAGAGTCCCCGCTATTCCCGGCAGGACGTCGCTGACCTGTGCAGACTGAGGCCCCTGTGGTGGAAATGCCAGTAACACTGAATTGCTTGTGGCCAGGCTTGGGAACATTTGTGTGTTTGGTGTGTATATTTTCCAACCTCCTGTTACAGGTGACTAAAAATATGGCTCAGGTGACCAAGGCCTTGGACAAAGCTCTGAGCTCCATGGACCTGCAGAAGGTCTCGGCGGTGATGGATAAATTTGAGCACCAGGTTCAGAACTTGGATGTTCACACCTCGGTAAGTGCTGGGCACTCGCTCGCCTGGGGGTAGACTGGTGGGCTGCGGGAAGAATTGTATTCGTTGGAGGCTGGGGGGTGGAGCAGAGAGAACTGTATCGCCCCACCATCATGGGCTCAGACACAAGGCCCTTCCCGGGCTCCCAGATGTGGTCTTTGGATTAATGGCTCAGTTGTTTCCAGAGCTCTGGTCTATAGTAGCTCATCAAGGAAGATCAAGGTTAGGGTTAGGAGCTGCACATAGAGAGTCTCTATCCCAAAGAGCTTGTGATCAGAGCAGGCAGACACACAGACAAAGGGTGCGGAAAGTCTTGTCCCCATGGCATATTCTTGGGGGAATTCTGTGCCTAAAAATTCTGCACACAATATTTTAAAATGTAGCAAAATTCTGCTTATTTTATTTGTCAAAATAACACAATATAATCACACTGCTTTCAATTATTGTGATAATTTATTTCAAAATACCCATCAGCAAGTATGTCTGTAACAATGCAGACAACAAAAAAGATTCAGGAAATGTTTTTTGACTATTAGATTCCTCCCTTGGCATATTAATACAGAACATTCAGTAATAATTCATTTAAACCACACTACAGAAACGTATTTCCCGCACCCCTCAGAACCACTGCAAAGGGTTCGGGGAGTCGGGGTAACGGAGGAGATGCGGGAGAAGGAAGTAGTTGCTGGGAAGAAGCCTGGTAGCGAACTGGAACGATTGTTCAGTGTGGGTGGGAGAAGTATGGAATGGTTTTTTTTGCGGGGGGAAGGGATTGTTAGGGAGTTGGGGAGCCTCCCCTATGCAGACCCTGGCTGACCCCTAGCCTCTCACTCAGTCAGGCACATCTGCCCCGTCCCCATGTGGTCCTGCACCCCCACTCCCATTCAGCCCCAGTTCAATGCTGTCACCCCACTAGTGCCTGTGCCACCTCCACTAGCCCTTCTGAGCCCCAGTCTGTGACCCCCCACAGCAGCCCTGTGTGCCCGTGCTGTCCATGCCCCCATATCCCATGCCTCCTCACCTGGCCCTAAGGCAGGACACTATGAGGAAAGCAGCCTTTTCTCCTCCCTCTCCACGGCTGGTTGCTCCGGCCTCCCTCTTTTCTGGTGCCACAGCAGCCCCTGGTGGGTGAAAGGTGTAACTGCAGTGCCTCTCTGATAGAATCCATTTTCTGTGGAGAAAAAAAATCTGCGGGGGATATGAATTCTGCATGTGTGTAGTGGGGCAGAATTCCCCCAGGAGTAATGGTACAGACTAGCAACTAGGTGACTTGCCCCAGATCACATGGGGAGTCTGTCAGAGCTAGGAACTGAACCCAGAGCTCCTGAGTCACAGTCCAGTGCCTCACACACAGGCCAATCCATTCTTCTCATCATGATGGTCTCTGGCTTGTTTGATTTCCCCGCTCCCCCCAGCATGCTCAAGGGGCTGGGCCATATGAGTGATTGTAGCTCATGTTCTGTTTCGATCAACCTTTGACCTGATCAGTCTGGGAGCAGTCTAGAACGTCCCATGCTCCCAAGTAGAGCCAGCCTTGAGCTCATTCTTGAATATTGCCTTGACCCTGGATGGGCAGTGTCTCGAACCAGGATAAGAGAGCTGCCCCTGAATCTGATGGCAAGGAAAAGCCCCTGGTGCAAGTGTCTGACCATATCTACAGTATCTGAAAGCTTCACTGAGAACCTAAGGCAGGGTAGGGGCTAACATGGACAGATGGGGTCCATAACACTTCATACAGCTAGGTGCCGGGCGGTACACTGATGTCTAGGGGCTTCAGGATCTCTCTGGCTCCAACCCATCCTCCTGTCCTGAGGCCTAGCTGTCTGGCTGACAAGGATGTGGAGAACCCTCTGGGGAGGGGAGCAGTGGGCCAAACTCAAGATCTGTAACGGGCTCCTACAGGCAGGAACGTGGGCTGGGTAGGTTCTTCAATGGAGCCAGATGGTGGCTCTGCTTCAGATACTGACTCTGCCCATTGTAGGTGATGGAGGACTCCATGAGCTCTGCTACCACCCTGACCACGCCGCAGGAGCAGGTGGACAGCCTCATCGTGCAGATTGCTGAGGAGAATGGCTTGGAGATCATGGACCAACTCAATCAGCTCCCCGAGGGGGCTTCGGCAGTGGGGGAGAGCTCCGTCCGCACCCAGGAAGACCAGCTGTCCCGAAGGTTCTTTCTCTCCCCCTTTTCCTCCCCCACGTCCCTTGGTGTGATTGTGTCCCTGGGCTTCCTGTTCCTGGGAGCTTGAACTGCCCAACAGGTGGCTGGGAGGAAAGCCAGCTGTTGGAGCAACCTCTGGGCTCTCGCGTCCCCATGCATGGTGGAGCCTAGCACAGCTCCAGGGGAGCCACGTACAGGCAGCGTACCTCGTCGTGCTCCACAGAGGAGAGGGGCTTCCTGATTCTACTAGCAATGGGTGTTGGGGAGCACTGGGGAGTGGAGGTGGTAGAAGGTGTTGCTTGCTCAGCTCAGTAACCAGATGGTGGGAGTGCTCCTGGCCCGTGCTTGCCTTGCGCAGGTGACGCTGCTCTGGGCGTGCTTGGCACTGACCTTCAAACAGGCTGTCTCTCTGGAACCTCCCCAGAAGAGGCTTGAGGCCACCTCCTATTGCTGGTGAGCTCCTCTTCCTCCTCCCCGTCCCTGCAGCTCTGCATGCAGCTACCGTGAGAGGGCCCCTCCGAGAACGGAGCCCTGCAGTTCCTGGCTGTACAGAGCTCCCTTTGCCCCCTCTCGCCCCCGTCCTTTCCCAGAAGTCATTGCACAGCTGCCAGACTCTCTCCAGGTTCTCTCGCTTTGGGCTGTCTGAAGCACGGAGAGGAGCGGTGGGTCTGGTGTGAGCTGAGGGGTGTCCTCAGAGTGGGAGGCGTTTTACGGACCCTGAGAAATGGAGACCCTCCCCTGGCTGCATTGTGTGGTGCGGCTGGAAGGTGCCTCTTGCTGAAGATGACTGAGTGTCTTCCATGCCGCACACACACAAGATGGCGTGGTCCTGGCTCCAGGGCTCTGCGATGGAGGGAGATGCTGTTCTTTCTCCTCGCTCGTGGGGCCATCAGATAGGTTATGAGATGACAAACGGAGCATCCAGCCTTTCCTTAAACTCCCTCTGCGCTCTAAGCGCTATTCCAGACCCTCCCCAGGAACCAGCCCAACTGTTTCTGCACAAAGCCCTGCCTGATACTCCCCTCCGGCGGCTGGAAGGGGCTTGTCCTGTGTCCCATCTGAGCCCAAAGGTGTTTCCAGCACAGAGGCTTTCTCCCCATCCTCCCACGTGCTTGCAGTGCGCCTGCTGCTCTGTCTGCTGAGGTCAGAGTTCGCACTGCTCCCCCACCCCCCCGTGCTGCAGGGAGTGTTGGTGCATGTGCTGAACCCCGGGTCTCTTTGGGCTCCTGCAGAATCACACTCGTCCCTTCCTGACCGGTGGCGTCGCATTGCCGTGCTGTTAAACACGCTGCTGGGGCCGCTCTGGCCTGAGCGCAGGAAATGCATTGGCTGTATTGGAAGGTGCTGGTAACTCACCTGCTAGAACGTAAATTGTTATCCGTGCTCCGGGGGGGACTTCTGTCCGTGCAAACCGCCTCCTCCTCGGTTCAGACTCATTCCATCACTGGGCGTAGTGCCCCCCGCCTTGCCCAGTTCTCCAGAAAGCTCCTCCCGTGCTCTCTGGGTTCACTTGGAAGCAGCTCCCGCGTTCCGTGCTCCTGTTTGACTCTCTTGTGCTGTTTCTTCCAGATTGGCTGCCTTGCGGAATTAAAGTCTCCCATTGTTCTGGATGATCACTGTTCCCCTACTGATTGTGCATCGAGTGGGGAGATGGGGGAGACCCCCCCCAAAGCTCCCACTCCATCCCTGCTCTGGCCTTCTGCTAGCAAAACCAGAACCAGCAAGCCACTCCTTCAGCAGCCTGCTCTTCTGCGGTGGACTCTTTGGTCTTTTTCTATGATGACTACTTCCTGAAGAGGCAGCAGGAAGAGATGTTGGAGGGAGGTTTGCCGAATGAGCGTGATCTTGCTCTGGGCTTTGGCGGCAGAGTGTTCAGGGCTCTTGTCTTTAAAGCAGCGCTACCACTCCCTCTCTGCATCCTGGGCCTCTAGGGGGAGTGATTCTAACACTAAATGGAGATCTTGTTGAAAGGGGAAGTGCATGTTCTGATGGGACACTGGGTGCCTGACCATCTCCGGATGGCTGTATCTCTAGCAAATGTGTAGTGCATCTTTCTCTCCACAGCCTGTACATTGGCTCTCTTAGCCACAGTGGGCTTTGCTGTGGGCGACCCTCTACTAACAGCTTGCAGCAGGTAGTGCCATGAATCCTTCCCATTTCCATCCAAGCCCCTTTCTTCCCCACTGCATGTTGTAGCTGGGGGGAGGGGTGCCCGCCCGGGGCGTACATGCACATTGGTAGTGTTTCATGGGTGAGGCAGCTGCCTTGGATGAAAGGCACAAATCTATGTAGTGGCATCTCTTACTCTAATGTCTATATTCCCAGTTATCTGCTAGTCCCTGGTGCAGCACCCGTAGCATTGAGACGATAGGGACCCTAGTGTGATGCCCAGCATGCAGGGATCTCGCTTTGCCAACTTAGCCCTGGCACTGCTTGTCACGTTGCCCGCACTGGATTTTCTCACCGTTAAGTGACCTTTGAGAAGTTTGTCTCCACAACCACACGCTGTGACCACTGAGATCTGGCCAGGCGAGCTGGGATTCTTCATGCATGCCACCCCAGCGAGCGAAGCTGTCCTGAGCTGCTCTAGCCGGGCAGCGTTCAAGGTGCAGCGCTGTCTGCTGGGAATGCTGGGGAGTGGTCTGTCTCCAAGCTCTGTCGCTGGCAGCACGGCAGCGGAGCAAACGTCCAGCCCCTCCTGTGAATGGTGAGGATGTCTCCACTGTCCCAGCGGATGTTGTGCTTCCCTCCTAAATACCTCTGTTGCCTTTACCTCTTGGGTCTCTTTCCCCCGCCCCCGCTCCCTTCCTTAGTGCTGACACTGACGAGATGCCCCAGCTCCACTGATGACTGAGTGTAAGCTCGTCACTTCCTTTAACCCAGTCCACAGTGCAGACCCGGGAGCCAGGCTGAGAAGGAAGGATCGCCCCCGCCCCCCCCCACACACACACTTCCCTCAGCCCCAGGCGTGAGAGCTTTGGGAGGCGTAAGGTGTCACTTCTCACACTCAGCCTCCTCTTCAGCCCAGGGCCAGGGGAGTGGGAGGGAGCGAGGGGAGATCTGAGCCCAGCTTGCTGCTGGATGGGAGGGGAACGGAGCCAGGTTCCCATTCAGAGGAGTTTTAACCCCCATCCCTGCTGGCTCCACGCTAGCTGCCATGTGCTGGGAGTCTGGTACCACTGTGCCAGAGTCAATGCAGAGCACATCTGGCATACCCAGCAACATGGCAGCTAAAATAGGGAGTGGTTACTGTGATGAACAGCTCTGGGGCTGGAGTGCTGGTTTCACAGGGAGGGCTGGCTCACAATTCATTAAGTGTCTCTAGGTGGTAAGTGTCCAGTAGCTTCTCACAGATGTGCTAAGGGACCTGCTTCTCTTTGGTTAGGGGGCAAGAAATCCCTGCTTTGGGGAGCAGGGGAGGCAGATGGCATCAGACACACTCCCCATCACCCTTGCCCCTGAGAGCATCCGGTGCAGCCTGGTGCCTGACGGTGGCTGGCCTTGCCACTCTCAGTGCAGAAGGCATGTCGCTGGAGTACGGAGTACAGAAGAAGTCAAAAGGCTGGGGGTTCTGCAGCACTTGCGTGCGGACACACTTCAACATCTCTCAATATTTTCCCTCCGCGTCTCATGGCCTTGGAAGATGCACGTTTGCCTCCCTTTTGCGATTACCCTGAGCTGGGCTGTTTGAGCCCAGCTGTGGCTGCCCCCCCCCACGGTGAGAGAGGAGACGCAGGCTCCTTTCCCGGACTGAGGAGGAAGCTGGGGCTGTAGGTGAGCCGAGGGGCTTTGTTTCTAATCCTGGCGGAGTCCCGGACTTGCTTGTGACCAGGTGTTTGGTCTCTGTGCCTCAGTCAGACCCAGGTGGGTAAAACGCAGGAGCCCCCCTGAAAATCTGAGCAGAGCTTTCCAGGGCAACCCCAGGGGGAGGCATTTAACGGGTTGCAGGGCAGGCTGACCTGAGGCAACTGTGAACATCTTGTTCCACCCAGCTGGAGTGTTTGCAGGAGGCACAGCGAGCACTAGCCCTAGCCCTCCCCGCCCCCACCTTGTGGAAATGGCTTACCCCTGCCCAGCTCCTCTCCTGGCAGCTGGGTGAAATCAGGAGAAGGGGTCGGCCCGGCCTTTGCCCTGGGGAGGAGATCCTGCCCTCTGTAAATGAGCCTATTCTTTCCGTGCGGTGCTGTCTGTGTGTTTTTACAATGCTGCTTTTCTTTGCTGGTTTTGAAATGAACACTGTCAAGTCCACTCTGCCGTTTTAAATAAAGGAACTGTCCTGAAAATCAGCCTCCCAGCCTGTCGGCGTTCCATGAAGCGCCAGCTTCTGCCCAGGGCTCCGCTGAGCTGTGGAGCCGTCACGGCAGAGGTGGGAAGCGGCCTGGGTAGGAGAAGCAAATGCCCTGTGCTGTTCTCGGGTCTTGTGGCACAGCTGCTGGGTTCTGGAGGGCCCGACACTGGCTGTCTCAGTCTGACACCGGCTCGGGGAGGGAATCCACCAGCCCTGCCTCTCAATGGGCTCTTGTCAGGCTGCTCCTGTTCCTAGGGTGACATGGAGCTTTCTGGCCCTTCCCCCCCCAAGCCCCTCTTCTTTTGATGCTAGATTTACCTGGCTTGGACTCTGCCTAAAAACGGGCTTGGCCAAGCACTAGCAAACGTTGTAAGGAAGAGTTGTGCCCTGGCTCCAGGGGCTGGACGGGGGGAGTCCTAACCTATCTTCTCCAGCTCTGATTTCTGGGACTGTTACGAAGGATCCAGGCAGCCCCCTGTCCTCTAGCATGCTGCCATAGATGGGGAGAGAACCCTCCCCACCATGCCTTGCTCCTCACAGGCAGTGTAGTGGGTGCTGCAATTCGCTGTACCACGCAGGGGAGCCCTCTGCTAAGCAATGCGCTTCTCTCCTGCTGCCTCGCTCAGCAGCCTCTCCCGCTGCTGGCTACAGAGCCCAGGAGGCTGCATGCTGCAACTTCTTCCTCTTCCATAGCAGAACCAGAACTGACCCTCTCAACCTGTTGCGTCCAGCACTCTGCTGCAGCAGGCGCTTGAGCCTTGCGGGATGTTTATCAAGAGCCCGGTCTCGCAGGCAGCCCTCGAGAGAACTTTTTCTTGGCCCCTCCTGGAAATGGTGTGCAGAGTTGGTGCCTTATCTGGCTTGTAACCAAGAGCGGGTGCTGCAGGCTTTATCCACTGATCCTGGGGCTAGCTCCCTGTTCCTTGTTACCTTCCGTCTGACTGGTGCCCAGCGCCAGTTCCCCAGCCCTGCAAACGGGGGTTGGCAATGCAGAGAACTCTCTAGGCCAGCAAAGCTCATCAATAACCGAGCGAGGTCTGTGTCAACCGGTGCAGGGAACAAGGCCCCCCCCCGGCGGGCAGGCTCGGAGAGCCACCGCTGCCACTTCTGCAGGAGGCCGCTAGGGTCAGCATGGACCGTCAAACTGAAGGGCCAAATCCCGCATCAGTAGGAGTTGGTGCCTTCAGCTCCCAGTACATGCAGCATGGCCCAGCTGAGGGCATCCCTTCACGGGCGGACGGCCTGGGGACGCCGGCACTGCCAGGCTCAGGCGGGTCCCTGCTCTGCAGATACTGGAGGGCTCCAGGCCTCAGCTCTGGCATTCTGGCCCCTCCAGGGGAATACTACCCCTGTGTTGTGGGGGGTTTCAGCCCTAGCCCTCTCTTTCCAGAGGCAGCTTGCGCCCTGCTGGCTTGTCCCATGGCCTGGGCACTTGGTGAAAGCACCAGCATGGCTTCGGGGGGAGGTGGATGAACTCTGAGCCTGACTCAACCCGTTTAGCCCCCCACTCTGGGCTGAGCAGTGATGGGTCCCCCACCCCCACCATCAGGCCCCTGAGCCAGGCTGGGTTTGAATAGGGGATGAAAGGGCCACTATCCAGTCAGCTGGCCCCTGAGCCCCCCGCTCCTCCATCTTGCAGCTGGGGTAGAAGGCTCCGGTGCCTGCCTCTCTGGAGGGAAGGGGCCCGGCTGGGAGGCCTGGTGAGGGGTAGGCGGAGGCCCAGGATCGCTATGTATCCTTGCCAGTTTCGCTGGCAGGTGGGGGCTCTGGACCGCAGCCAACGTGCAAAGGCAACAGGAAGATAGCTCGCTTTTGCGGGCCTGTTTACCAGGTGCCCGCTGCCGCCTCCGCGGTAAAGACAGGCTGTTCTTTAAATGTTAGAGGAAATTGCTAACAGGATGTTTGATTGGCCAGCTAATTAGCTAATGATTAACGGCTGCACAGTGCCTTCACCGGGTAACGGCTGCCACAGATCCCCACTGCTCCGCACTTGCAGCTGGCCCCGGCGCGGGCTCTTCTCCCACCCCAGCCCTGTAGCCCCAAGGGCTTCTCAGCTACACCTCTGGTGCCACAGGCGGGCTCTGCTCCGGGGCCACCGAGCTTTGTCTTGGGAAGGACCAGGATAAAGGACTCTCCTAAAGGGGCTTTTAGCCGGGAGCCACGGCCTGCTCCTGCCTTCAGCCCGGCGGAAAGCTGGGGGCTGGCTTTGGGGAGGTATGGCTGGTCCTAGTTCATAGACTCGACAGACAGCAGGGAGCGGAGACTCAGCTTTAATTCAGGATTGCGGGTGCCAAAGGGCAGGTGGGGGTGGGGACAGGGTTAAGTCGTGTTAGCTCAGCTGCGTGGGTTCAACCCCCAGGAAAAGCCGCATGGAGGCCCAGGTTGCCCACTGGCCAGAGGTGAACAGGGGGGCCTAGGCTGGGGCTTGGCCATTTAACCCGGCTTCGATCATGGCAGCCTGTGTCCTGCCAGGACAACTGAACCTCACCCGCTGTGGGCCCCGTGAGCCTGGGAGCCGGCGGGGCAGCAGTGGTCTGCTCGGCTCCCCTTCAGGGCCAGCCCCAGAGCGGTGGGGAGTCCCCGGCACACACACACCCTGCCCGCCGGGCTGGCTCAGAAGTGAGAAGGGGGGGTCTGGGCAAGCGGGGGGCTCTGCTTCCAGAGCTCTACAGGAGGAGGGAGTAAAGGAGGGGGACGATGAGAGCAGCTGGCAGCATGCTGGGGGGGCTGGCGCTGGCACGGGAGGGGTACCCGTAGCTGGTTCTGCACTGCCCTTCCAGTTCCTCGTACGCAATCGGCTCATCGTCAGGTGGCTCCTGGGACAGGCTGTCCCTCACCTAGCAGGGAAAGGAAAGAGTCAGCCTCTCACAGTATGCTGCAGAGGGGGGCCACGGAGCTGGGGGCCAGGGCCGGGTCTGTGCTGCGGAGCTTGGAGCCGGGGGCCA